AGAGATAATCAGTCATGTAATTTCCAGTCAAAATCTAATTTAAAAACAAAATTAAATGGAAATTATGTTTAAATCAGTACGGTTGACAAATATTGTCATGTGTCGGGTATTAGAAACAGTGATGCATTTCGGGATCTACTGCAGAGTGAAAAGAAATAACTTGCACAAAATTTGGAAAGGAATATCATAAGTCTAATTACAGAAATTTTACACTTGTTTGAGTTTATTATAAATCTTTCTATATTACCAAAGGCTCTTCAGTGGCCGAGCGATACTGTCGCTGAACACTGGTAGTTCGATCTGAAGTTCGAACCCCACGAACGGGCTGGCTGCATGGCCGCTTTCGTGGTTTTCCCCATGTGTAACGTGCATACGAGCCAGCTTTCCTTAGAAAGTCCTCCACAACGGCATCCCTTCCCTTAGTCAGATAACCCTCCAGGTTTTGCCGTAATTACATAAACCAAACAAATCCTAGGCTTTCTGGTGTAATGGGCGTTTTTGCGGTTTCTTGTGTAATGTTATTACGAGCTAGTTTTACTTAAAACTCAATGAAAACAACTTTCCTCTCACATAGACCCAGTGGCCGTTGGTATAATAGACAAACAACATTTTCCCACAAAAATAAATAAAATAATAAATAAATAAATAAATAAATTATAAAAAAATAAATCCTAAAATTGAATGCTTTATGTACTCAATTAGGAAAATTTACGTTTTTAGAAATGTAGCACTGGCTTTCATCTTCAGAACTTCATAGTTGGATTGCACGGTAACTTATTTTAAAGTATCAATGACAAAAGTTTTTAAAACCCTCTGCTGATGAAAATTAGGCAGATAGCACTTTGAAGCTTTGCCGGTAATCACATAAACCAACCAAACCTATATTATCAAAACTCTATTACGTATGTGAGAATGCTTGTAGAGCTGCGTATATTTGGTAGATGAATGAACACTTTATTCTTAAGTCTACATTACTAAGTACGCAAATACCAAAAATCTGAATGTGTTTTGGTTTATTTATCGTAGTTATAATATACAAACTGCATGTTTGGATTCGCATACGGAAAGAGGCAAATGAAATCGTTCTTCTGGTTAAAGTGTTAAAAACAGTATCTTAACACAATCGACTGATACCAAGATCATTGTCATGGTGGGGACAGGCCGGGAAAAAGACGCAAGCGCTCAGCCACCGAGAATAGAGAAAACAAACTGAACGAAATATCAAGGTTTCGATGAGAAAACAATCAGTGAGGAAATGGAAAGTCGAGAAACAGCTAATTTGAATGTGTGAAAAGAGCTCGGACTTTGGCCTTCCAGAATGAAAAACAAATCAGAAACTAACATTTGAAAACAAACTTGTAAGATTTCAAAGATGTAGTGCGTTACTCAAGTAGGCCGCAATGATCGATGTTTTTGTGTGATGAAAGCGTTTTCATCACCGAAGCCATGATGACACACACGCTCACAATAGCCATGATGACACAGAATGAGGGCAGCGGATGATTTAGGTGTAATTTTTTTTTTTTTTTTTTAAATCCTTCAATACCGGTTACCTAATCTTATGCAATCATTTATTTTTTAATCTAAAATTACAAAATATATACAAATGTTATGTGAATAGCTCTAAGCTTTCTTTTATTATTAGTCCAAAGGGATTTGAATCCCGAAGGACTATTAGTTTCGTTTTGGCATTTTGCGTCGGACGGATAAATGTCGGTTCACTTTTCAAACTGTTGCCACAAAATGTTAGAGTCCTGCATTATATTTGAAGAAATTAAATAATGAAAAATCTGCATAAATGTATGTATTTTTCTCGTATTGTGATAAAACAACGGTACATAGAGTCATCGAATTTTGAATAACGTAATCCTCCAACGAATATGAGCATGTGGAAGACCAAATTTGAAATTTGAAATTTGTTTTATGATCGATTTCCTATTTTTTAAAACTTTGACGAATTTTTGATTAACAAACTCAAGGATTTCAAAGCGAGCAATGGCAACGTTGTGCAGAAAAAACATTTTTATCTCCAGCGCGTGAGTTTCTGTATCGGAAATTCTAAAGATATGCTCGTTTTAAAACTATTTTGCGATATTGCTGTTGCACTGGATCTTATGGTTTAAGTGCGAGGAACATGATATTTAATAAGAAAGGTAACACACAAAATGTTAAAAAACGCCCCTTTGGACGTAATTTAAAATCTGAAACATTTCAGATTTTTTTTTTTTTTTTTTTAATTTTTTAATCTAAAATTACAAAATATATACAAATGTTATGTGAATAGCTCTAAGCTTTCTTTTATTATTTAGCTTTTAATTAATATCGCATTTAAAACCTCTTTAACGAAAAAGAATATGAAAACGAATCAATCTGACGGAAAGAAAATACCAAACAGGCAAAGAGAACAAACATTGTTTCTTATTTTTTAAGTCTGTTTCAAATAATCAGAATTTTTAAAAAACGTTATAGGACTCAATGAAGATTAAGTGATAATAGTAACTTACTACTATTTTCTTTATTTTACCATTTTCTTATTGATTGGTTGCAAATTAATGCTTGCCACCTATTTGAATAACTACGTAACAAATAATCTTTAAAGCAGTCCACAGACAAGGATGTGTCCATGTTGTAACAGCTTTACATATTATTAAAATCTTGTAGTTTAAATAATTTAATTAGATGAACATTAAGGTATTTGTGAATGGCAATATTTGAAACCAGACTCGAGTGCAACGTGCGACTCTCGCACGAAGAATGTAAATTATTTTTAAATGTTAGAATATGTTTTATCTTCTTGTTTGTATGTCGCCATTTTGGAGTGTTAAATAAAAGTTATTGCTGTGTTCCATCATTGGAGTTGCTTCATATCGCCAAAGAAGCATTACAGTCTTAATTATTTTTGGAGGCACCGGCGAGATCGAATAATCGTGCGTATTTTTATTTCATTAGTTCATCACTGAACATAATATTAGCGATACCAGATTATTACTTTCTGTTAATATTGAATTGTTTTATTTTATTAGTTCATCACTGAATGTAATATTAGTGATACTAGATTATTACTTCCTGTTAATAATAAATTGTCTTATTTTATTACCGTATTTGATATTATATTTAATATTCATTTTAGTTGTCCATACGGTAGATATATATATATTGCTCCATGTTATTATTCTTATTTTAATCACAATTAATGTGGTAGAGAGAATGAACTTCATATAATTTAAATATTTCATTTTTGAGCTATTTTAGGAAAATAAGGAAAGCCTATAGTAATATCAAAGCCGCTACTAATAGACGCAGAAAACAATTCTCGAAAGCAAATGATAATCCGAAGGCACAGATGAACTGAGCAAAGGCTTTGCTGTGAATTATAGCCGAGTAACTGGTCCACCATGGAAGAGATCTAGTCGCCGTCAAGGAAAAAAAGAAGACTAATTTGAACAATGTCCATTTTCTTCCTACTTAAATGTGGTGTAAAAATATTTGTTTAAAGCTTAAAATTTTCGGCCTGAAAATTTGGAAACTTGTGAGAGAAGTTATCTTTTCTCTTTAAGCAATTTAGCAAGCCGAGCTTATAAACTTTCGAATTTTACAGAACTTTACCCTTCGGTAAAAGTCTCTCCGTGGGGGAGGGTTGTAACAGCTTTACATATTATTAAAATCTTGTAGTTTAAATATTTAATTAGATGAACATTAAGGTATTTGTGAATGGCAATATTGAAACCAGACTCGAGTGCCACGTGCGACTCTCGCACGAAGAATGTAAATTATTTTTAAAATGTTAGAATATGTTTTATCTTCTTGTTTGTATGTCGCCATTTTGGAGTGTTAAATAAAAGTTATTGCTGTGTTCCATCATTGGAGTTGCTTCATATCGCCAAAGAAGCATTACAGTCTTAATTATTTTTGGAGGCACCGGCGAGATCGAATAATCGTGCGTATTTTTATTTCATTAGTTCATCACTGAACATAATATTAGCAATACCAGATTATTACTTTCTGTTAATATTGAATTGTTTTATTTTATTAGTTCATCACTGAATGTAATATTAGTGATACTAGATTATTACTTCCTGTTAATAATAAATTGTCTTATTTTATTACCGTATTTGATATTATATTTAATATTCATTTTAGTTGTCCATACGGTAGATATATATATTGCTCCATGTTATTATTCTTATTTTAATCACAATTAATGTGGTAGAGAGAATGAACTTCATATAATTTAAATATTTCATTTTTGAGCTATTTTGAGGAAATATAAGGAAAGCCGCTACTAATAGACGAAAAGCCGCTACTAATAGACGAAAAAAACAATTTTCGAAAGCAAATGACAAATGAATATTATCCGAAAGGCACAGATGAACTGAGGAAAGGCTTTGCCGTGAATTATAGCCGAGGAACTGGTCCACCATGGAAGAGATCTAGGCGCCGTCAAGAAAAAAAAAAGAAGACTAATTTTGAACACTGTCCATTTTTCTTCCTATTTAAATTGGGTGTAAAAATATTTGTTTAAAACTTAAAAATTTTCGGCCTGAAAATTTGGAAATTTATGAGAGAAGTTATCTTTTCTTTTTAAGCATTTGAGCAAGCCGAGCTTATAAACTTTCGAATTTTACAGAACTTTACCCTTCGGTAAAAGTCTCTCCGTTGGGGAGAGTTGTAACAGCTTTACATATTATTAAAATCTTGTAGTTTAAATAATTTAATTAGATGAACATTAAGATTTGTGAATGGCAATATTTGAAACCAGACCGAGTGCCACGTGCGACTCTCGCACGAAGAATGTAATTATTTTTAAATGTTAGAATATGTTTTATCTTCTTGTTTGTATGTCGCCATTTTGGAGTGTTAAATAAAAGTTATTGCTGTGTTCCATCATTGGAGTTGCTTCATATCGCCAAAGAAGCATTACAATATATTTACGTATGATTATTTTTTATATGTAAGATATAATTATTTTTCACACTTTTTCTTTTTAATTTCTTAACTAGGTCAAAGACTTATATCTCCATCCTGAGCTTTTTACGATCGATAATGGCTTGCTGACACCAACCCTGAAGACGAAGAGGCCAGACTGTAGAAAATTCTTCATGCCTCAGATAGCTGCCATGTACAAAAACTTAGCTTAAAATTACAGTTCAAATACAAAGACATCAGCAGAAATCAAGAAACACAGCGTAAAATTTGGTAACTTTAGGTCTGATGTTTTACCACATTTGTACATACAAATAATTTTTTTTTTTTAAATCACAAATACATTCAATACGATATCAGTTATATTTTTAAGTTCCGTTGTCTGAAGAATCACTGTGCTTCACATGTGGAATAAAATTTACAATAAATGACTTATCCTACTTTTGTTTTTCCAGTGACTGCTCAAATAGTGTGATGTTTCTTACTTCTTTACAGCATAAGGAAATTGTAGAAATGTTTTCTTTGTTTAGTTGTGAGGTTTCCAGTGCGTTAACAATAGACGCCTCAATTCATGCCCTAGTTCTTTCTTTTCATACAGACTCTTAAATCTCCGGAATAGTTTACTGTGTAGTTATAGATCCATAGATCCCTTGGATACATTATCTTAACTATTAGATGTATTTTTGTACCTTACTATTAGATGTTTTTCTGTAGATGTATTTTTAATCAGAATGACGTATCTAAATTGTAGCTAGGTACCTGTGGGATTAATTTCTTTTATGATTTAATCCTTCGTTATGATACGAAATCAAGCTAAATTTTAACAATTGATTTTTTTTTTTTTTTTTTTTTTCCCTACACAGTGCGGTTGAGGACACTTAAGACTGTAAGATGCTTTCTCACCCATTCTTGTCAACTTTCGCACGCACGAGTAAATTCCCCCCCCCATGGTATTTCTAGCCTGCGTTATCCCATCCAGCACGCCTCCAAAAATATGCCTATAATGTGGGAGATTATGGGCGTAGTCAGCAGGGTGCAATGTAGGGCTCTTTTTTCCCCTGCTCAGATATTAACAGCAAAAGCTACCGAAAAATTGAATATCTTTCTTATTATTCTCCTGAATTTTTTCAGTGCAAGAATTCAAAGACTCCTTGACTGACAGTCTTTTCTTGACTTTATATTTTCTCCCTCCTGCATGCCTTCGTGATGTAACAGTTAGCACACTCGGCGCGTATTCGAGAGGTACAGGTTCGAGTCCCGGTGGGGCATTGCTCATTTTTCATGTACTCCTGCTTCAAAAATAACCTACTGCCTCTACAGTGGCGCCCGAACTAAAAGTTGTCCTTCCAGCATGCTTTCGTGGTGTAACGGTTACCACACTTGGCGCGTATTCGAGAGGTCCAAGTTCGAGTCCCGGAGATGGCATTGCTCATTTTTCATGTACTCCTACTTCAAAAATATCCTTATGTCTCTACAACAACACAGTTTATCATAACCAATTTAATTTCTGAATCTTTAGTCGTTTGCACCCGCCTGGCTCAGGCCCTGGCTACGCTCGTGTATGGAGATAAAACAGTATGGCATGTTTTCCAAATTATTTTAACGAAAATTATACGAAACAAAAAGAATGAAGATGTTGTCGGCGTTGCATTGTATTTTTCACAAGTTATTTTTCGAAACTTGTACGAATACTGAAGAAAATACCAGCTTGATAATATTTTCCATTCGCTGCTTTTATGGATGTTATACATATTTTAAAAAGATTTTAAAAAATTATGAATTCAGATTTCCTAATATTTCTCTCCTTGCCTTTTCTCCTCACTTCAGATTCTACACTAGTTGTTCTTTTTTCCTCAGAGTATGAAAAAAGAAAATTATATATTAAAAAAAAAATCAACATTATTATAATGTAAAACCATAATTATTTGTGTTTTAAGCATTTGCATTTTTTTCTGGCACTTTAATTTAAATTACATTAATCATTATTTTAAATTTTAACGTATGTATCAGAATGCGCGAAAAGTTCATTTAATCATATCTGCATACACATGATGTCAGAGTTCAAGCAACCATATAGGCGTTAAGTAACAGCAATGATTAATTTTGTAATTAGTTTCAAATGTTACTGTAGTTTTAACATAATCATAATTTTGTTCCGAAGAAAGCTAAAACGGTGTACAATAATTAAGCTATTAAGATATAATGAATTTAAACAATAGAAATAGAAATATACTTGAGGCTGTTTGTTTTGTAGAAGTTTTTTACAACTCTTAATCTGAAATAGACTTGAACTGTATTCTTAACAAAACAATAGCTGAATTTCTTCCGTCCTTTGCGGCCCGCACATGCATCGCAAGATTGGTATCATTTTTTGCACGTTACCCCTTGCATTACTCCAGTAGAAGCGCTGTGAAACTCTACGCAGGGTCTTCATTATTCTAAAGTAGCCTCCTGTTGGACCGCTATGTAGTTCATAAAGAACGTTCGGAATCCAGGATCCGGACTGGCTGTTCGTCATCCGATTTGAATTTCCTGTTTAAGGGGACTCATACACCTTAAACCCCTTATGATCTTCGAATATGTGACTGTTGCAAGAATTGGGATATTTTATTTATTTTAAAAGCAATTACTTCCAACTTTTTACATCTGACTACATAATATAGCTGCTTTGGAAAATAGTAACCAGAAAGTTTGTGTTGCCACAATATTTTTGTAATTTAATCCTCTTTGGACAAAATATTCGCCATGTTTTCCACCTTGCGCGCCATGATATTTTTAAAAATGACTAATGGTACTATTTGAAATTGGACGGAATTTCTTTATATGGGCACTACTTTCTAACGAACCAACAATCTAATGAATTTTTAATATTGAAGAATTTTATGGACGAAAACATTAAAAACAATTTTTAATAAAATACATTTTATAAACTTAACACAAAATAAAATAAAAATTAACATGAAATTTTTGAATTTTAGGTTTTCACAGTCGTTTTCTAATGTTTATAAATCTATATATTAAATATGGAAATAAATTATTAAACGGAATGTTTTAAACTGTGCACGCAAGTTGGAAACATGACGAAAAATGTTGTCACGAAGGGGATTAATTATAAAATATTTTGTGGCAACACACAAACTTTCTGATGACTATTTCAGAAAGCAGCTTTATTAATGTAGTCAGCTGTAAAAAGTTGGTAGTAATTGCTTTTAAAATAAATAAGTTATCCCAATTCTTGCAACAGGCACCTATTCGAACATCTTATGGGTTTTAAGGTGTATGAGTCCCCTTAAGACGCCGTTTCGAATAGGGAATGAGTTCCAGGTATCCCATAGATTATTTTGTCATAGGATTATAGATCGAAATGTCCTACCAGGTAGGTTTCCTATTCGAGGACTCCATTAGGTCAATTTTGGGTTTATTTTGGTATTGCAACTCGTCTTTTCTGACTCTTTCGTCATTCCACAGGTCTGGGCCAGACAGTGTTGAATTTGTAACTTGACATACGACCAAATTAACCAGCTAGAATTTCGCTTCGACCTTGATATAATATCGGTAGCTTTCTGGGCAGGGTCTTTTAGACAGGACGTCGGCAGTTCCGTACGCAGATCCTTTCCGATGATGACAGATAGTGATGTCATATTTCTACAGTCTCTGTTCCCATCCGGCTATCTGGTCTTCAGGATTCGTGAAATTTAAGAACCAGGTCAACGACGCATGATCTCTGCGGAGGAGAAATTTTCTGCCGTAGAGGTAATGGTGGAAGTGTTCTACGGATTTAACTATGACGAGCAACTCTTTCCTGGTGATACAGCACAGTAGAACTCCAGTTATCCGGGATTTTTCCTGAAGAAAGGATCTACATACACTTTAACTAGTTACTGTGTAAGGATCCTAAGTTTTACTAACGTTTGTTTTATTTTAAAACTGTACTATCACTTCCTGTTTTCTAGTTCCGGCCAGAATTGAGTGCTTTAACTTGTTTATGCAAATTGTCTTGCTAACGCCAAGTACTTAAGTTGTGGCTTTCTGCCAAGCGAGAGAGGAAGGAGTTATAGGAAGCAAGCCGCTTGCCACTGTACTTTTACGAGTTTTCACTCTGTTGGCTGGTTGCCTTTAAGGCCAGAGGTTAGCCCTCTTGTTATTTGCGAACGTATTGTAGTTTAAGCAGCTCGGCGTACTACATACGTACCTTTCATTAAATAAAGGCCAATGTTGCTAGGCATTTGTATACTAATTCAAAGTTAGATTTTTTAGAGTTTTAGTTAGTAGTTTTATTCTTACGCTCAAACCACGAGTGGTTGGTCGCTATATTCCGAAGTTTCGGAAATACCTGTAAAAGATAGAAATAAAGGGTTTGTATACCCTCCTGCTTGTGTTGTTATTCACACCTTCCTGAACATACTTGAGTAACTCCCTGTTTTCCTATGGCATTATGTTTCCAAAGCAAATCAAGAGAAATACAAGTCCTGATAACTGTATGCATTGTATGTTTAAAAATGGGAGAAAAAACTATTAAGAAGAGGAGGTTTTAATTAATTAAAATCAAAACACTTTTACGTGCATATTACACAGCGTACTATACAGTACTTAGAAGTGCTGAAAGTCACTGCTCGCTGAACATCTCGGTCAAAGTAAGTTGTTTGACTGTCTACATCCGTTTTTTCGAACAGCCAAGTTACGCGTCCGCTTGACAAGGAGAAGTTGCACGTGGTCTCACACGGGCTGACGCTCCATACACTTCAACTCAGTTTTAAGATCGACAAACGCTTCACTAGCTGATGGTTCCATGTCTGCTTCAACTTCAACATTAAGGTCACCTTCTTTCAATAAGTTCAACACTTTCAATAAGTTCAACACTTTTAATAAGTTCAACACTTTCAATAAGTTCTGCATCATTCAGAATTTAAAACCCAGGGTCTGACGAATCACACACCATCTATGCTACTGTATCCTCAGCAATAACTTCTGAACATCCAGGAATTTTCAAAAGAATGTTTTTAATTCCTAAAGGGACACGTCATCCTCATCTCCTCCTGTCTCTTCCCTTTCCTTTTCTTGAACTTCTTTTTCCTTTTTCTATTCTTCCTTCTCTTATTCAGTTGATTCTGAAATTCTAAAAGCGATTCGGGTAGTCGGAGTTCGAATAATTGGAGTTATACTGTAGTAGTTCCTCTCCGTTGTAGATAGACCATTTGTTCCAGCATGCTACGACACGTTCTTATCCGTTTATTTCTTCGGCGAAAACAACACCGACATTCTAATTGCTCGCATCCGTGTCAAGCTAATAGTGGTTCAAACGAGAAATCGTCTTTATCATATACAAAGAATAGAAAGCTCACCATACATGCCTGCTGATAGACTTGCATATTAACTTCAGCCATTAGTCTCCAAACTGGAATACGCAAAGTGAATCATAGAGGTAGACCAAAGATGTAGGC